TCCATCACTCTATCCATTGAGCTAACCGCCTCCCGGTTAATACGTATAGCTCAATGTATGGTTAGTACGTAATTACTAAAATTGAGAGGAAATGCGGGTCGCTCAATAAAAATTTTCATTTGAACGCGATGACTTTGTTTATAAGGATTTCTCCTGCTTAAATCTAATAACAAACCTCTGAATTTTTTTTTTTGCCCCCGAACGATATATCACTGAAGGAATTTTATGGACCGCAAGTTTTTTGACTGATTGAAATTTAAGGTATGTGGCAGTGACTTCCACAGGTTTTTTTTTTTTTTTTAAAGTATAGTTCTTTCGTCCGCTATATTAATCTATTAATAGATCCAATCGCCAAAGGTTACATACGACAATTGTATTAATTAATCGAATTTAAACAATCAGCCAATGAACTTTTACTGTTCCCAAGGGTTCTTGTTTTCATCAGTACGATAACAATAGAAGCGGTCTACAGTATTAGGTTTGTGCTTTAAATAAATATATTTAAGTTCGCTAGAAAGATAAGTTTAAACTGTAACAAGCTTGGTTAATCGGTCCAGCATTTTAAGCCTGACTGACACTGGATGTCAAAACTCATCCTCGTTCCCAGGCTATGTCCATTACACTGCTTTACGCCAATTAAAGTCCTACGTAACGCCTATTGTGCATCTTTCTGCACAGGAAAAACCAAACAGAATTACCGATTGTGGCCCTTTACGGCCAGAATAATAATTGCGGTTTTGTCTCTGACGAAGAGGCGGCAGTAAGCATTATTATTGCCTACGAGCAGGTCGTTGTTTGGTCTCGTCACACAACGTTGGAGAGAGAGCGTTGCGTGACGAGTTCAAATTAGGGCTGTGGAGGGAATTGCAGGAAGCGTGATGTCAATGCAGTTTATTATTACCAATAATTATTCAGACACTAGCACATATCCAACCCACATATCCGAAAAAGTAACTCCTGTATGCCTAGCATGCCTATGTTTAGTTTTTGTCGATGCTGCTTTGTGCAACATTGCCAAATAAAGTAGCAACTGGAGATATTAACGGAATTCTGCTTGGTCCTTGCAATATCGTTGCCAAAAGTGGTTATGGTTGCAAAGAAGACACCATTTCGGTGGTCAAGAGAAGATAAATTGTTGTAGGAGAGTATAAGGCATTCTTTACAAACGTATCGTAATATACCCACGGTTGTGGTTTCTTTACCATTATGTCCTGAATTGCCTTGTTAACAATTTTGCGGCTAACAAGGAACACTACACATCTGTGGAGGGCTTGCACATGTGCGCTCGTCTCGCAGTGCCTTATGACCAAGCCGCAGAATCCACTTGCTCCTGCCACACAGGAACAGCTACCGCTGATGGTTTTATCTTCTAACCCAACAACAACACTCAAGGTATGTGGAAACTCACTTTCCTTCTTACACCAATAACACCTGGCTGATGGTAATCATACCTTGTTCCACAGAGTAGTGACTTGAAACAATATAAGTGAAACAGTGATTTGTGTTACAAAGATTGTCTGATTAAACTAAATTTACTTCCGCTAAATTATTGGTCCTTGAAAGGAGATGTAATTTTTACACGACACTTTGATAAATATTTTTCCCTTTTAAGGGAGTGCTCTCGCCGAGCTAGCTCTGAACTTTATCTTAGAACAGACAGAACTCGCACCTCACTTTTCCGTGATTTTTTCTTTAACAGAATTGCCATTTTGTGGAATAGTATTCCTGATGTCATTAAGTTAGCTACTTCCCTGGACTCCTTTAAGCGCAAGCTCAAATCTTTTTTCTTCTGGCGTTTGCATTGTGTTTTTGGGTTAGATAATATTCGCTCGTACAAGATTATTCGTCCAAAATGCAGAAGAGTGAATATAAGAAACGCATGTTCTTGTTAAGATGTTTTTATTTAATCATATATATGTTTTGCTTTTTAGGTTTATGGGGTTGGGTAAGGGGTTTGAACCTTGTAGGGGATGCTATATCCTTTTGTTCTAACACCTGTATATATTCTATATTTCCAAATCTTGAAATAAATACATAAATAATAAATGAAAAATATTAAGTTTAATGGATTTATCCTAAAATACCTACAACAATAGAACGTACTGCTGATTCTTTCCTCTAAAAATTTGAGAGCTGCTTGAGGCTTTACCCTTTCTCACATTGTGTTTAAAGTTGAGTACACACATGAAAATGTCAGTGTCGCATTACATCTTTATTTTAGTTTCTCCTAAAAATTCCCTTTTAATTAAAGTACACCTTAACCCCAAAATTTGTTTTTGCTTAACGAAATAAGCTTCTTTTTTAGTATTTCAGTACAAGAATTTTTTTATTTGCTCAAATCTTCAATTTTTTGTGCCTAGTCAAAATAAGGAAAATCGGCCGCCATCTTACCTACAACCGAGTTTAAAGAGGAATGGCTCTAGCGGGTAATGTGACGTCAAATCGAGAACACGAAAGTCTCCATTTCACACATTTTCAGTTATTTGGGAAGGTTGTAGTCGATATTGTCCGAAAATATGCCGACTAAGTGTGTTGTAGAAGGATGTAGCAACGTGCGAAATTTGCAAGAGGATATCGCGCTTCATACATTCCTCATACAACACACCTAGTCGGCACATTTCGGACCATATCGACTACGACCTTCCCAAACAAGTGAAAATGTGTGAAATGCAGACTTTCGTGTTCTCGATTTGACGTCACATTACCCGCTAGAGCCATTCCTCTTTAAACTCGGTTGTAGGTAAGATGGCGGCCGATTTTCCTTATTTTGACTAGGCACAAAAAATTGAAGATTTGAGCAAATAAAAAAATTCTTGTACTGAAATACTAAAAAAGAAGCTTATTTCGTTAAGCAAAAACAAATTTTGGGGTTAAGGTGTACTTTAATTAAAAGGGAATTTTTAGGAGAAACTAAAATAAAGATGTAATGCGACACTGACATTTTCATGTGTGTACTCAACTTTAAACACAATGTGAGAAAGGGTAAAGCCTCAAGCAGCTCTCAAATTTTTAGAGGAAAGAATCAGCAGTACGTTCTATTGTTGTAGGTATTTTAGGATAAATCCATTAAACTTAATATTTTTCATTTATTATTTATGTATTTATTTCAAGATTTGGAAATATAGAATATATACAGGTGTTAGAACAAAAGGATATAGCATCCCCTACAAGGTTCAAACCCCTTACCCAACCCCATAAACCTAAAAAGCAAAACATATATATGATTAAATAAAAACATCTTAACAAGAACATGCGTTTCTTATATTCACTCTTCTACATTTTGGACAAATAATCTTGT